ACGCGCGTGCCGCAGGGGCCGGGTACCTGTGGGTGTGGGCTGGCGGCATCCCTCGGGCCGGGCTCCTGGCCGCCGGCGCAGCGCGGTCCCCGCCCGCCACCGCCCCCGGCCCTGGCTGTGCTGCAGCATCGCGGGGCGGGGCTGTGACGTCACCGCATCCCGCGCAGAGCATCCTTAAAGCGGCCGGGGACCTGGACGGGGAACCAACAACTGAAAGCACGTTCCCACCTCCCTGCCCATCTGAAGACTCCAGAATGCAGTGACAGGAAAACAAACGCACATGCCACCGCCTCTGGGTGCTTGTTTTCCCTTCTGATTTTAGAAGATCCACGCATTTTCCTATCTTCATTTGATAAACAGTCATGTTCATTTAGAAATAAATATCATGCTCCCTAAGGTCACACCTGCTGCCCTAAAGGGTTGTCAGCACTACCCCCAAATTCTCTTATTTACCAAGCTTATTGGGTGCCTATGCTGTGTCAGCCACTATTTTAGGGCTACAGCAGGAACCCCAAAGTTCCTGCCCTGTGAAACAACATTTTAGGGCCAAAGATTCATAGTAAGCAAGGTGAAATAAAGAGCGTGAAAGGAGACAGCCGCTTCCTCTGAAGAGCATGCCGCCTCCGCGGCGCTCAGCTCGGCTGTGCTGGACAGCATGGTGACTAACTCACAGGGCAATGGAGCCTCAAAGCTGCCTGAAAGGAGAGCTTAAGTGAAAGTTAGTTACTGGGGAGATTTTGTTTTTATTTATTTATTTTATGAATTTAGGGCAGGGTCTACAGGGCATATAGTGTATCGCTATGTAGATCAAACTCTGATTCTCCTGCTTTCAGCCTCCCAAGTGCTGGGATTACAGGCATGCGACCACGCTTAGTCTCAGCGCACCCCGGGGGCGAGGCTGGCACAGCACACGGGCTCGAGCCCTGCGGCTGCTGCACTCTGCCAAAGCAGGCGCTTCAGTCCACTGGGCTGTCAGGCCGGCCCACTGGGGAGATTTAAGGGTTCTCGGCACAGAAATGTACGTGAGAAGATGACTATGTTAATTAGCTTGATCTCGCTATTTAATGTGCATGTGTATCAGCGCTGCACGTGCACGATAAACACAATTTTTATTTGCTTATCAATTAGCTGAGGTCTATGCTTTGGTTTTGGTGCGGAGCACCACGCCCAGCGCTGCCAGCTTGCTAGGCAAGTGCTCTACCGCTGAGCTGGATCCCCAGCACCTTGCTCATCAATTAGAAGATATGTTTTTCTAAAAGATAACTTTATGGAGACGGGGGTTAGGAAGCGTGGGACAGTGAGAGGAAGCCGCGTCGCTGTTTGAACTTAGGCTGTTTGTAGAGCCAGGGCGATAGCTCAGTAGAATAAGTGTCTGCCTGAAATTAGGCTGTTAGGGCCAGGGAGATAGGGCTGGCCTCCCTGTTAGGACTCAGCGGCATAGCGCCGCCTCGGCAAGTACAGGGCCCTGAGTTTGATCCCTGGTACAGAAAGAAGAAAAAGAGAAAGAAAGAAAGAAAGAAAGAAAGAAAGAAAGAAAGAAAGAGAAAATTAGGCTGTTAACAGGTCCTCACCTTTTTTAAAAATTAATTTAACTGAGAAACAAATAGCAGTGAGACTGTTTCAAAACTGATTAGTAGGACAGTTTCAATACAGGTCCCCACCTTGAAGGTGACATCTAAAGAAAACCTCGGAGGGGCAACAGCCACCATGACATGGGGCAGCCACCCAGGCGCAGCAAGGGCAGTACAAAGGGCCTGGGGTGGAGCCCAGCTGGGCTCAGGGGCAGCCTCACAGCCCCAGGGGTTGCTGCAGAGAGGCCAGCTGGTGACACAAATCTGATTCTTATTTTGCAACACTCGCCAAGCTCAAGTGGGAGAAAGGACCGGAGGGCGCAGGACCAGGCGCGGCAGGGAGGGCTGCGATGGCCCACGAGGAGCCGCCGGAGGAGGGGTTTTTAGTGGAGCATCTGAAGGAGGCCGGAGGAACCTCAGGCCCGGGGCTCAGTCCCAAAGCGGCTTCTTGCTCATCTCTGTAGCTCTGAAGGACCGGAAGGCGGGCTGGGGAGGACCCTGACTCGGACCTTGGGACGTGGCCATACCCTGCCACAAGGGAGGCTGGGCGATGCCCCCCTCGGTGTCCAGGACCTGAGAGGGTGGAGGGAGGGGCGGGCAATGCCGGGGAAGCACGGGACAGGATCCAGTGTCTGCCACGCACAGCAGAGGAAAGGCAAGAAATCCAGACCCGGCTGAGGAAGAAAAGACTTTTTAAAAATCCCTTTTGAGTTGAGCCTGGTGGTGCACGCCTGTGACCCCAGTAATCCTAGTACTGGGGGAGGCTGAGGCAGGAGGCTCACCCTGAGTTCCAGGCCAGGCTGGGCCACACAGTGAGATCTTATCTCAACCCGCCCCCCAACCCCTCCCAAAACAAAACAACAGCAACAGGAAAAATGTTTCCTTTTAATCTTTTTTAGTCTTCTAAGTGTAGAGCATTCTTTTTAACCCTTCCAAGGTCAGATGAGAGTGTGGTTTTTTTCCTCCTGTGTGACGCCTAGTGGCCTCTGTCCCTAGGCCTACACAGGACCCAACAGTGACAGAGGTGATGAATCACAGCTGGCGGGGTGGGAGTGGGGTGGGGTGAGGGGCTCACCCGATCTGGGGAGACCTTCAGTCTCAGTGAAGGGAGGACGCGGAGACTTTGGCAGAGAGAGCTGGGCAGGGTCGCGGACGCCCAGGAGCCCGCGGGAGGTCCCGGGAGCCGCCCTGCGCGCCGCCGTCCACCAGGGGGCGGCAGAGCCCCGCGGAGCCGGCTCAGGCTGGCGGGGCCGGCGCACCTCCGGGGGCTGGATCCTAAGTGGGATTCGTTCTCCTTCCCCCGCCAACCCCCTTTTCCTGCAAAGCACAGGGCGACGGGATTTATGAGTCCTATTAGTTTAGACAGCAGCTTCTGTGCAGGTTTTGAGTTGCTTTTCAGTACTGGGGATGGAAGCCAGCCCCTCGTCAGTGTTTTATTTTGAGACAGGGCCTCACTAGGTCATTAAATTAACCCAGCCTGGACTTGAACTCACGATCCTCCTGCTCAGACTCCCTAACTGCTGGGATTGTAGTCCCAGGTGTGCACCCGACGCCTGGCTCGTGTAGGTGTTTCTGTCCCCACCATCGTGGTCCGTTGTGCATCCTCCGCATCTACTTGGTCTTCCTCATCCGGTGGGTCTCCCGGAGCCCGGGAGAGGGCGGCAAAGGCGGCCGGAGGCGGGTGGAGGCGGGCCGGGGGCAGTGCTGGGAGACCCGCCACGCTGGGGTTCAGCCCTTCTTGGGGTCTCTCTGAAGCTTGCGGGGCGCAGAGCCCAGGCTCCTCACACAGGGCTGGCAGTGGGGGTGGGCATCCCCGAAATCCACGCAGCGGGGCCAGGGCAGAGGCTGCGGATTCCGAGACCTCGAGGGGCTGCAGGAGCCCGGGGACAAAGGTCGTGCATCCCTCCAGCTAGCCGGGGCGCGGCTGTAATCCCAGCACTCTCCAGCTGTAGTGTGGTGTATCCCCTCGGCGTCGCTGTCGCCCGTATCTGGCACCCCTGGGACCTGAGGGCCTGGTTGGATGCAGCCCCAGGGGTGTCCAGCCTCCGGGTACCAATCAGAACTTGTGAATACTGAGCTTCGGAACTAATAAATACACACATTTTTTTCAAAATAATTTTACTCCTGTACCTTAATGTCATGATTTCATAATTCATGGTTTTTGCATTATGAAATTATACAGCAGCAAAGGACATGACACGAAGAGAACACACAGTGATTTCTTATGCACTGCACCCACCAGCCAGATCTGGAATGGACTGGTTTGTCACCCTTGGGTCCCCTCCTTGAGCTGTCAGGTATGACCCTTTGCTTCTCACATCTTGCCAAATAATTATCCGTTTGGGAGGCTGAGGCAGGAGGATCAAAAGTTTGAGTCTTTTCTTCTTCTTTTTTTTTTTTTTTTGCAGAATGGGGGATTGAACTCAGGCCTTTGGGCTTGCCAGGCAAGCGCTTATTCTACTGAGCTATCTCCCCAGCCTCAAAAGTTTGAGTCTTGCTGGGGCAACATAACAAGGCTTTCTCTCAAAATAAGGAAGGGCTGGGGATGTAACTCAGTGTGAAGGTTCTGAAAAGAAGTGGAGTGGGGGAGTGGCAATCACTGTTTTGACTTTCTTGCTTGCTTCCTGTTCTCTTTTCTTCAGCATGTCTCAGTTTGGGTTCCCCCAAAAGCTGGAGGTTGATCTGGGAAGGGATCCAAGGAGCTGGAAGAGGGCTGGATAGAAAGAGAGGAGGGAGCTGGGGATTCAGTTCCGTGGAAGAACGCTCGTCTCGCAAGGGGGAGCCCCAGGGTCCGGATGCGGGCACCTCAGGGCTAGGCCTGCTCAGGATTTATTACTCACAAAGCCCAAGCCCACGGCACCAGCAGCACCTGCTGGCGTCCCGCATGGCTGGGGCCTCTTTTGAAGGGCACTGATCTCACGCACAAGGGCCCCACCCTCATGACCCAGACAGCTGGAAAGTTCCCATGGCCATCACCATCATGGGGGGCTGGTTCCATGCGTGTATGCGGGAGACACCGGCATTCAGCCTAGAGTGGCTTCTACTCCTTTGGGTGGGGGTTGGCCATTTACTCGCCAGAGTCTAGCCGAGGGGCCCCTGGGGAGTGCTAACTGCCCTGTGCTTGTGCCTGGCCGCCTCAGTCTGCTGAGACAGCTGTGACAAAGACCACGGCCCGAGTGGCCTTAGGAGAGCAGTATGCCTTCTCAAAGTGTGGCCTGCTGTCTTGGGGTGCTCTTCCGGGTGCAGGTGGCTGCCCTCCTGCTGTGTCGTCACATGGCTGTCACCTTGGGTGGAGGCTAGCAGCAAGGTGAGATTCCCACCGTGAACCTGGACGCCTCCTATGAAGGTCCCCAGTCACACCGATGGTTGGGGCTTCAGCAGGAACTTCAGGGACAGAGTCCCACCCACTGTAGCGGCCAAGCAACCCTTAACGTGCTGAGAAAGCACAAGGGCTTGAGGCAGGGATGGCCCCTGGCTGGGATACTGTCACTGGGCTGGCTCAGCCTACCACTGCACCTCCATACTTCA